TTTATTGTTGTTATCACATTATTGGATTACTGCGGTAGTGGCGGCGGCGAAGGATGTGCGAAAAAAGCTCTAAATTCGGGGCCGGGATCTTGGCGGCGCGGTGGATCATAAGCTGCTGCCGAATTGACTGGACCGGCGCCTGTCACAGTGGTTCAGGTATGTTTCGGAGTACACGCTGCGAGTGCGGTCATCGTACCGGAGCGACGGCCTCCGTGCGTCCAGCGCCTCCAAGTCTGACGGTGGGCTCCTGCACAGGTTGCAGAACGCGCACTGCAGCGTGTTCTTGAAAGCTTCCCGGAAGTCCCGGTTGAAGTACGCGTAGATAAGCGGGTTCAGCGTCGAGTTGAAGTAACCGATCCAAAAGAGCACGGCCACTACCGACGACGAAATGTTGCACGCCTCACCACACAGCGTCGTGATGACGTACCTGCGAACACATAAATGCAAAAAAAATATTTAATATGCGACCAATGTATATTGCAAAATACGCATTCAATAACAGATATTATAAGGTACAGTAAAGTTGGTTATTCGTTTTAAGAGCACACTTTTCGGTTATTTTTTGTTTGTCGGTCAAATATACCAATAATATGTATTGATAATGTATCGATATTCAATCGCATAACTCAATGGATAATGCGATTTATCCTGTTGATGATACTCGTCATCTGCAAACTTAACTTTTTTTTTTGCTCACAACATATTATTATCTATCACCATTTACGTAACTCAATCAATCACAAAAAGACAAATATTTGTCTATTGAAAATGTTGAATTGTTTTCTGCAGTATTGCAACTAGCTCTATAATATATTCAATTCATTTATGTCAATCCACTACATTAACTGCAATCACTGTAAATCCAATAGCAGATAACATTAAGAATCGGTCAATATCCTATTGTCAGAACAAAATGAGATCGGAGARTATTATGATAATAATAAGACACATTTCATCTCTAATAGAAGTTTGCTATACAACTGCAGGACAGAATGAAAATAATAGTCATCATCAGAAAAAAGATTTCTGTCTTACCGGGATCTGTTAAATCGACCGTTTATATTTTCCATTCGCACAAAATAAACTTTTATAGGTAGGTACTCCAAAATCACATTATCCCTCGGCAACACTTGAAATTTCAAGAGCATCGTTAGGTGCCTAAATAAAGAAGCAGGACGCAACGGTAAATATTTATTATTATTATTATTATTGTGCGCAGCACAATGTACATTATAGACGTGAACGAGTCGGTAACATTTACGACCGTGTAGTGCATCATAGATGCGATTCGTTTTAAAAAATAAATTAGAATAAGAACCTTAAACAGGTCGTTCTATGCAACATATATGATACCGAACAGTCGTGTGTTAAGTTCAATTTTTATGAGCGAAGAAAAAGAAATCCAATTAAAGGAATGCAGGCGTACGTACATGGTGTTAGTCTGACATAAAAACGCGAGCTTTTGATAGAATCATTTAGTTTCTACTATAGTACTTTAACATGAATAGCAAAATAAAATATGTTCAGGAAATCCAATTAATATATATTAAATAATGTACGTTGATCGTCGACCTTAGGTTTATGTTCGCTTAGAATGTAATTATAAATACTAATAAATTATTCTAAGAGTACTTATTCTTAAATTAAAATTAAATCAAATACTTTTCAGTGGACTCGGTGATGATGATAAGTTATGTTTTTTAATCCTATGATATAATATTTTGTTTATAATAATATGGTTGATCTAAAACAAAAATTTAATGCAAATGAATCCAATAAATATCATCTTACCGATATTCATATCCTTATTTAAGAATAATATCAAAACTTTAAAGTTTTATGATTATAGTATGTTATTGATAGAGCATATAATTTCAAGAGGATGAAATTTTAATTGGCAGGTTTTAGTTTATAAGTTATGATATAATTTTACGTGGCTTTCATTGAGTACGATGTTCAAACGGTGCAGCACATTAAAAAAAAAAAAAAAACGATTTTTTAACCTGACTAATTACGAAGAGGTGTTGTTAAAAATATATCCCCGGGAATCTTCTAAATGTTCAATTAGTCTTAAACGAAGTTATAAAAGAAAAAAAAAAGAAAAACAATACCCTTCTTTATGATTAAAACTATTTACGGTATACGATGCAATTAATGTCTAATACGAAAAAAAAAACTCAAGACAGCTGAAGCATGTCTATAATAATAACAATAATAATAATGGTAATAAACTAATATAGTTTAACCATATATTATATAGTCGYCGTTTAAGTTTTKAAATTATTTCGAGCAAGTGCCTGGCGCAAAGTKTTACACAGTACAACAAAATTATGTTCTTTCATCCACCCCTGCAAAATAATAATAATATGATGTACTTAATTTGTACTAGATAGACGGCAGCGTGCTACAATAATGTTGTTAATTTTCATTGTTACGGTTATGCACACTCCCAAGTCCGCGCGTGCGCAGAAAGCTGACGAACGAGTACGTTTGGGTTGATTTCAACTGAATCAACGACCCGTGACCTCGACGTCAGAGTGACTATACATAGTACAGTTATACAGTACAAGTTAAACCACGTAAACGAATCTCTTATTAATTAACACGAGTGGTGATTACGCCGCGCATGCAGTTAAATTKCCCAAGGTTGTATTAGTAATATAATATTATAATAATATGTGCGCACCTGCAGTGGAGGTGATATTATTTTATAAACAGAAGTCGGCGTTCCTCGACTGTTTGGCTTTTATATTATTGTAAATAAATCGACGAGCACACGTCATCGTCACTACCTACTGCAAAACGAACCTAAATAGTATAGGTAGGTAATATAGAAGTAGTTGTTTTCTTTTTTTTTTTATCGTTATCAACGAGGTGGAAAATCAAAAATGTATTATAGTGGTAAACGAAAAACATCCACGTGACGAATAAAAAACAGTTTTATCGAGGTCGCAGTTTTTTTTTATATATGTTTGTGTTCAACGTCGTCGTCCATATACTTCCTTTAAGCTATTCAATCGAAACTCGCCTACGGGTATGATAAAAAACACTTTTTCGAAAGTCTTACAATCAGACAGATTCAAATCACACGGGTGGTAATATTACGCAATGATATTTATTCGTTATTATTTATGAATTATTATGTACATCAAACGTTGTCGGTATAAATCAATAAATAGTACACGATGACTATTATACTTAACGAATGCAAAGGTAATGTTTTCGAACATTTGATTTCACTTTTTGGTAATTAGGTATAGGTATAATTAATACTATTGCATTTTATGATTAAACGCGTTTGATATCAAAATTATATGGTGTTATTTCATTATTTGAGTGCTGCAGTGGCCAATGCCAGAKGAATCACACACACACATTYCCTATTCATATTGGCCAACGATTTATTTTCGAATTATACTCTAATTGCGTCCACTGACCATACATCATTATATATCATAATTATGATAATTATAATCGCAATTGAATACCACAATATGTGCCCACACATGTTCACGCTCCAAAGGTCCCTATATCAAATCGTTGAAATAACCTCACTTTTCGGAACAGAATTCTTCAYTATAGCTGTTTAAAATCAAATYCAAAAGAACCAGCTATAGGCAGAATTGCGATTAAATRTAATACACGTCCATTACGATTAGGCATTATCTATTAAATACCTGTACTGTGTGTCTGTGCACTTAAATAACGACTGTGGGTCATCTAGATTTGGTTTTTATGCGGCTCAAGGTCTGTTGATATGTATATCCATGATCATTTTGAAAATGTTGATTTAAAAACAAAATATTGATTTCGCTTCTATAGTAAGTACTTAATGAATAAAATATAATTATCAATCGTGATGACGGATGTTGTATGACGTGTAAAATCCAAACAAGTTGAAAACAGTCAGATGTGTGATAATATTATTGATATGCCACACAAGACTTGAAATAATAATTACAAAATTTTAATAATATATAGGGTCAGCGACAYTTAATATCATCACCTCGTTAGCTGAAAGTYATAACGATGATGACGTTATAGTTTAGAACACGATAAGACGACGACCACCACCACCGCATGCCTGGTGATGATAACATTTTGYGGGAATGGCCGCATAATTATTATGATAAGCTTTGCGTTATGTTCTACGATCGCCGAGGTGGGCTTCCGCTACAAATGTATGCTAGAGGGGCGTGTGGGTCGTAGCCAACAATTAAAACGGGAAAGCCGATTATTTCTTAGCATGCGTGATGTCGGAATATTTTTTTCCTCGTTCCTATATCGATCTTTCGATCCTCTCKCCGCCGATCCCGCCCACGTACCGAATCGAAATGGAAACGGGCCAACGAGCGCGCATGTTATAATATATTTTAAAGCCACCCATCCTCCGCCGTCGGCCTAGCGCTCACGGCCAGTGGCGGCGGTGGTCCACACACGCTTTAAAYACATTAAGCACTGTACAAAATAATAATAATAATAAATCGACGATGTTATATTAATACCACGATGGAATTTTAATAATATGTTATAYGATTATAATATATTTTATTTATACGGCACACTTGTAGACACGCATACAACACGCGTCGTAGTCGTACGATGCCARTCGACCTGGTCCGCGGTCGGAAAGCGACTGTATGATGGTTGTCGCTAAAAGCGTAGGTATATATAATAATATAATGGCCGTGCAGATGAGGAGKTCGTGATATAAAAAATAATAAATAACCCTTGTGCCTACTTTACAATGTTATAATCACCGTGTTATTGATTATTTTAACGACTTTAATTATTATCGGCAGTGCAGACGGCCAATGAAACGAGAGAAATGGGCGCAMAAAGTTCGCCCAATAGAAAAAATCGTTCAGAAATATCATAATATAATAATTTGTCCATCGCGCGTGCGTGTTAGATAAAGAAAACCAATAAAATATATAATACAGTAATAATAATAATT